CAAGTTTAGCCCATAGACCTTGATCGTGCTGGGCTTTCCACCAAAGTTTGAGAGAGTATGTTGTCTCAGTGTGAAGAAGGTCCCTGATCCCTAGGCCACCTGCATTCTTGTTTTGGCATGTGAAGTTCCAGTTCCTCCAGTGGTATTTAGCCCTACCATCCTTATGGCCCCAAAGGAAGTTGGCCATAAGGGAGTGTAGAGTTCTGATGATGGATCTTGGGAGGGATTGAACGGCAATGAGATGGAGTGGGATGGATGAGAGGACGTGTTTTATGAGGATTAATCTTCCCATTTGATTGAGAGTTCGGCTGTACCAAGAGGAGAGGTGTTTGTAGACATGGCTCAAAAGACCATTGCAGTCTTCTTTTTTAAGAATACCCCTACGAAGGGTAGCTCCCAAGTAGGTGAAGGGGAGACTACCACAGTTCATGGACAGAGCTCTCGCCATTCTGGCTTGTTGATCCGTAGAGGTGGATTTGGGAGTGTAGAACCTGCTCTTTGAAAGATTAATCTGCTGCCCTGATGCCTGCATATATATATATATATATATATATATATATATATATATATAGACACACACACACACATATATATAGATACATACATATATATATATACACATATATATACATATATATACATATATATATATATATATATATATATATATATATATATATATATATATATATATATATATGACCTGCTACGGTCAGATGACACTGCAACTCACCACTGATTTTTACAAAGCTCACCAAAGACTGGGAAAGCTCACCATGATATTTTTACATTTTGAATTTTTAAATCTTTGAAGTTTCAATGTTCACAAATTCTAAGAACAAAGCTCACCAATCATCACTGCAAAGTCCACCAAGCACACACATTAAACTCACCAAAATTGTAGGTTGAATTTTTTTTTAAAAAAACAAAGGGTGACTTGGACCACCACTGACCGACATGGACCACCTTTGACCAATGGCGGCATCTTGTGACAAGTGGCGGTGTTGACCGACGACTGGTGGCGCTGACGGTCAACGGCGACAGTCAGCAATCAAAGTCCTGTCAACATGGGTGAAAGTCCACTCTGATTGTTTTTATCAAAAAACAAAGTGTTGAAAAAAATAGGTAAGCTTTGCCATAGAGTTTGAGGAGCTTTGCAGTTGCCGTTGGTGAGATTTGTAGTTGGGAGTGGTGAGCTTTATGTTATTTGATCGTAACATGTCATCTAAGCATTTATATATATGTGTGTGTGTGTGTGTGTGTGTCTATATATATATATATGTATGTATGTATGTATGTATATGTATATGTATATGTATGTGTGTGTGTGTGTGTGTGTGTGTATATATATATATATATATATATAGGTTTTGGTTCTGGTGAGATTGAGATGTTATGAAAGAAATAAGAATGTCTCATAGCCATTAGATCTAGATGTATTTGTAGGATTTATCCGTTTCACTTACAGGGTATTTTAGACTTTTCAACAGATGAGTCGTATCTCTCCTTTTTTATGTATCCGTAAAATATGCGCACAATCCACTTGCACCTTCTCCTTTTTTATGTATCCGTAAAATATGCGCACAATCCACTTGCAACTTCCATTTTTTCATCTGTCTACCACCATGGCAATCAATCTTGTAGTGTTCAAAGGAGAATATATCCCATAGATTCTACAATGATATTAGGTATGTTATCTTTTTATTTTTTGAATCAAGAATTTCGTTCATCCATATATTCTTGGAAGGAGGGGGTTCGACTAAATCTTGAGCATCTGATATTTTTTATTGGCATTCAAATGAAATATAGATTTAGAATTTCGTTTATGTTTGGATTCTTACTTTTCTCCCATGATTCGTTGTCTAAATTTAAAGGTTATATGAAGGCCGATTACTTATTTATACAAATTTGATTGTACCGATCTTGCAATTCATCTTACTTTGTGCTGATAGCTTCATCCCAGCCATGTTGATGCAGATGGATTCTAATACCATTGCTAAGGTTCTTCGTGCTTCGGATGGTGCTGAATTGGCCACAAGTCACACGGGCAAAGATTGCAAGCTATATGTTCGACAAAATGTCCCAAAGATGTGTTTTGAGTAAACTTTTTCTAACCTTTTGATTTTAGATGATTTGGTTTTGTTTATCTACTTTAATGATTAAGTCTTGGGGTGCAATATTGCATTTTTTCTATTTTTTGGATATAGGGTTGGACTCACTAATTTTTGAATTTTAATCTTTAACTCCGTTTTCTTTTCAAATAATTTTTTTTTCAAAAAATGTATATTTAACAAAAGATTCTAGTAGGGGGTTTGTTTTTGCAGAATTGGTTTAATAACCATGAGAAACATCACACTATTCAAATGATTAGAGAATAATGGCACATATGTAAGCAATCTGCAGTATTATGCATCACTCATGTTTGCACTGCTATTCAAAAATTTTATGGTGCATTCAACACTTCTTAGGCTGCACCTTTTTACATCTGAACTTCAACAGTAACTTCTTATTGTTAAATCTATCCTTTCTAACATTTTTTAATAAGGAGCAAGTTATGAATGTTCTTTGTATTTGGTAATTTCTATCGCATATAATCAGTTAATGTTTAATTAAAAGGAAAACACAAGTTAATGGGGGCCTGTTGTTTAATCAAAGCAACTTTAAATTGGATTTTTTCTATTATATTGTATATTTAATATACTTTGTTGTTATTTTTTATTAGATCTACTCTTTCTAAATGTTAATGTCAATGACTTGTGCTTTTAGAGAGATTCTAGATATGCAATTTGTATTTTGTCTCGTTGTGATATGATATGAGTGATATCTATGGTGTGTTCTCAAATTCAAACATCTTTCTTTAATTTTATACATATCATTATGTATCATAAACATTGCACTCTTAACCTTTTGTGAAACATTTATGTAGTAGTTTGTGTTAATTTTGCATTCTTGCTACCCTACGTAAATACAACTCGTCTTGACAGTGATTTTTATAAATATATACTTATCTTTGTTTTCATTATTAATATTAGGATATTCACATATTGCATTTTTTTAAGTTGATGGAGCTTATTATTGTTCCTATGCTACATTTTAATTGATTACAACAACTACTGCTAAATTCACGTTTTAAGGACTTAAAAGATCGGTAACATTCCATGTTTAATTTGAACATATTATGGCTGTGGTATAAATATTCACATGCTCTCAACCATACATGAAATTGTTGGATTGCCCCTTGACTGTGTTGTGGTGCTGCATTTGTTGGGAGTGTACATTTCTGCTTTTATTTTCTCTTCTTTTTAACTTTGTGTTACTTTTTTGTTATTTAGCTAGAAATGTTGCGGGAAAATTTTTATTTTTTTATTTTCTTTCATCTTTTCACTTTTGTGTTTGTTTGTGTGTGAAATGGTGCATTGTCAGAGTCGCGGTAATGCATTTACATGAAAAGGTAATGCATTCTCATAATTAAGATTAATGATAATGCATTATGTTATTCTACATTTTCATAATCAAGGTAAAAGATGCCACATTCTGTTACTGTGAATTCTCATAATCAAAGTTGATGCATATGATGGTGAAATTATCCTTACATAAATATGATGCAGCTGTATAGTCTAGGTAGTGAATTTTCTGTAAATGACGATGCTTTAGAATGTTCTATCTTACATTTGAATATGAGTTAGAAACTTGTTGAATAATGTAAATTTTAAAAGATTAAAATGCATAGTTAATATATCCATGTGCAAGATGATAATCTCTTTGAAAAGAATTATTGCCTATTAGCTCAAACGGTAGAGCTATATGTATTACGGATGTGGGTTCGAATCCCACATAGGCAAACTATTTTCAAATCTGTATTAAACTTGTTCTGAATACAAAGCATTCTCAAGTTTTCCCATCACATACAAAGTCACTTATGAATAATTATTCACCAATCCACAAATTAATATAATAAATTTTTAATAAATTCAAAGGACAAATCAAAGTGGACATATGAACCATCACAGTGCATGCATAATTTATAATACAAATTGCAGCTATATATAAGAATGGTGCATACAGAAAAAACTATTGTGTGGAAAAAATGTATTTATTAAAAATATTAAATAAGTGATGAGAAGTAAAAAAGGGTAATTGAATACGGAGTAGTTTTTAGAAGAAAGAAAACATTTATAAATCATACATTTTTTCTTTCAAATTGCAAATAAAATATATCCTTTGCATCCTTAAAAATGCATTAAAATAAAGTAAAAAAGAAATAAGTTATTTTAAAGTCTTTAATTGATAAAAATATTTATTATTGATTTTTATAGAAAAAAGTGGTTCATAAATTAAAAAATAAGAAACAATTAATATGTCTACCCATGAATCATGAAGCGCACGTTTAAAAAAGAAAAAGAAATACCCCTTAACTAATATGACAACCATAAAGGCTAAAAAAGTGGAAGTAATTAATGTGCACTCAAGAGTTTTATTTTAAGCAAATGGCGTAAATGGCAAGATAATACTCATCCCTAGAGATTTTACGTGTATTAAGGCATTTTTTTGTTCCAGATTTACCCCCACGAGATAATATCTCCAATTTTAGATTTACTCTAGTTATTAATTTCCAAATTATCGAAAAACTTTGAAAATGCATCTTAGCCCCTAATTACATTCGATCCAACGTCTTTTGTTCATTCTCATTTCTTTCACCAAAGATCATTCTCACCTGAACCAACCCATATATATATACATACATACATGCATACATATATATATATATATATATATATATATATATATATATATATATATATATATATATATTTGTGTGTGTGTGTATGTATGTATGTATATATATATATGTACGAAGGTATGTATGTATGTACGTATTGTTATTCGGTTTTAGTCGTTGTGCTCACGCCTTAGGAGTGGTGAATAAGGCGTTTAAAATCTTTTCGGAGTTTGATAAAACGGTGTTGGTAAATGCGGAAGCAATGAATAAAATGCAGAAATAAAAGCGTAAAGTAAAATGCACGTCGTCAAAGATTCACTCCGAGATTTCCAATAAGATTCACTCCGAGATTTCACAACCCTTTCCAATAAGATTCACTCCGAGATTTCACAACGGCTATCTCGAATCGTTTACAACGAAGATTTGACGGCTATCTTCTACCGTTCCCCCAAGGATTTCAAAGGTTATCCTTAAAACTCTACCCAAGGATTTATACGGTTATCGTTAACTATTACAACGTTAGAATTTAACGGCTATTCTCGACCGTAAGAAAGTGTGTTTGAAGAACACAAACAAAGGTTCTACACAACAGCTAGAATATAAAAATAAAGAACAAAACTTAGCCGGTGTAGAAGGAAATTATACTCTCTCAAAAATACAATATAAACTTATGAATATGAGAGTATATAACTTGAAACACAAGCTCAAACTGTGTGTTTAAAAATCAGGAGAGTGAGGCTCTTAAAATAGCTAAAATATTGAAAATAATGAGTAAAAGAATGAACACACTAAAATATAAAGAGAGGATGTTTGGAGTTTGTTTCTTGTTGAAATATGAAGTACTAGACCTATATTTATAGTGGAAGATGTTAATTAGCCATTGGGAGGTGATAGTGGTTGATTTAATTCAAAAATCAGCAATCAGGAATTGCGTTCCAACGGTTACGATACCCTGTCACGGTAGCTAGGTACCTTCTCAGGCCAAAACTCTCTGGCGGTAGCTGGCCTCTTACGGTACCCCTTCCGGCAGGGGGTCCCAAAGTTACGGTATGGGGGTCCCGGGCTGACGGTAGGGGGTACCTTCTCAGATTTACTCATGGTACCCCTTACGGTACCTAGGTACCTGCTGGCCATTTTGATGATTTTTTCATTTTTGTCCAAATCGTTTCTAATTAATTTTGTTTAAAACCTTTTGGATGTTTGAAAATGATTATAAGATGGTTTTAAACATATTTTTTGAGTGCTTTTGAGCTTGTAAATATAGGTATATAAAATCATATCCTTACATCGATTTCTATCTATATTCTACGATAGTTTAGTGTTTCGACTTCATTCTTGAGAAGGGAATCTTAATGGATTCTTGTTGTACTTGAAACACTTAAACAAACGTTAACCTTTAATATTGTTTATTAACATCAAAACGCGAGGCTTAGGAAACCAAAACTAACATGTATGCATGCATGCATGTATGTATGTGTGTGTGTGTGTGTGAAAGAGAGTTCCATAGCTGTGGTGACGACATGTGTCATGTCACACGTGATATTGACACGTGTCATGTGACACCACATGTTAATCACATGACACATGACGTCCATGCTTGCATAGTTAATTTTGTATTAAATAATCATTAATTTTATTATATTTCATAAATTCCTCACTTCCCAACAATAAAAAACCATTATTTTTATAAACTTTTTTTAAAATTTTTACTTTTTGACTATTTAAAAAAATCATTTTTTTAACATATTTTTTTAAATATGCACGACTATTTTATAATTTCAAAAGAAATATATAAAATTTATTACTTAAAAAAGAAATGTTGCTTATAATTTTTAAAATTATCCATCATCTCAAAAAAATTATTATATATAAATTTTATCACACGTGCATTTTTATTAACTTCATAACATATTTTATTTTTTTCTTATTAGATTACTTATTTTATTATGTATTATTCAACAAACTAAACAAAGTAAAAGCTTAATTGAAGAATTACATGTGGCACATAACAAATATGCATTATCTAATGATGTGTCATTTCTTAATTGATCTATTTGAGATTTTTATATTTATTTTTATTAATTAAAATACTTTTCATTATTATTTTATTTGATGACCATAAATTTTGTATAAAATGTTTATGTCGTCATGCATGCACTACACCTCCCTGCATGTCATGTCGCACATCTATATATTTATTACTATTAACTTTTTATAAAAACTTTCACTTTCTTACATAAAAAATATTTTATTTTTATTAAGTTTTTATAAACCCTTCACTTTCTTACACTAAATAACTACTCCCTCCGTCCGGAAATATTCTTCCCATTTGACTTTTCTTGGTCAAAGTTTGTAAACTTTGACTATGATATGTAGAAAAAATACATCGTATTACGAT